TCCAGGGCAGGCGGGGATCGAACTCATGCGGAAGTGGCTTAAGCTTCTTAGTGCTGTGCTTTAACCCGCTGTGCCACCAGGGAGGGCCCTAATGTTCCCATTAAAGCACAGATAACAAGAGAAAGACTGTCTAGAAGTTCTTCTCATTTGTTGCACATTGAGTTTTTATTGGAAATTCATATATTGTTTCACTTATTTGTTTATAACACAATTATTGTTGTGGAGCAGGAAAGTGGCCTTTTAGCGGATAAGATAATTTTTTTTATAATATAATAGTTTATTTTTACATCATTTTGTACATTTTTTTAATCTCAATTGTAATCCCCGTGGGTTTCCCATCACCGAGTCATCCGTGTGCCATCACCATAGTCCCGTGCACTTCCCTCCCACCCCCACCCCGTTTTTGATCCCATTCTCCACTTCACCCCCACACAAAATGTCTCTGGTACATGGCTGTTCATTACTCTTATTATTTTCTCGCCTGGTCCATTATACTCCTGCTATGAGCGAAACCATCTGGTATTTTTCTTTTGGATAAGATAACTTTTTAAAATTTTAAGTAATTAAATTCTTTTTAGTTTACAGCTAAATGATGTCATGAATTCTTGGATTACAGCCAAACAACCTAGGCAGTTAATTGTCTTTTGAGAAACCAGTTTTCTGTGACTACCATTATATGAAGCAACAGAGACACAGTTAAAAGAAAGGAAGTTCAGGTGGAAAGACTTTGGCCCAAAATACTTCAGAGGTGATAGATATTTGGCCCTTCTTACTGCATCCTACATGGAGATAAAAAATTTCACAAGGTCCCACTATCAGAGACCAACTATATAGTATTTCAAGCTACATTGGCTGAATGTGAGCATGCAAAACTTGTGAATACAACTGGACTTCTTTTTGTGGTCCTCCCGTGACTTTGCTCTTTCAGGCTCTGTATCAGTCTGGATAAGTTAGGCTATGTGGCAATAACAAATCTCTGACTCTTCATGGCACAACACAACCCAGTTAATTTCTCCCTCACATGCAGTCTCATACAGGTAGGTAGGTGATTCCCTAGTGAATCAGAATGTAGACCGTCTTCCTCTACAGCTGTGTCACCTTGTAATTCTTTTCTTCCATGTAACAGAAGGGAAAGAGGAAGTATAGAAAATTCACATCTACTCTCAGTTGTCCTGGACCAGAGGTGACCTACTTTTTTCTGCTCACGTTCCATTGACCAGAAATAATTGCATGGCTCCAATTAACTGTAAAGAAGATTAGGAAATGGGGGTGGGGGCAGCATATGGCTCTTTGGTGAGTATGAGGAGAGCAGGGGATGAGAGTGTCTTAACCCTACAAATGTTGGCTGATCTCAGGCAGCCCCAGGAGTAGACTGTGGTGAGCTGCCCAGGGCTGCTCGGTTCAGGCTGGCAGCTGACACCATCCCTGACAGGGCACAGTGCCTTTGGACAGTTGAGTAAGAGTGGGGCCCTCAGCAGACAAACACGCTTGTCTCTACCGGTGGGCCAGCCAGCAGGTCAGTGGAAAGGCTGAAGGTCATGTGGCTTGGGGGGAACCGGGGGAAGAGTTCAGCCCCATGCCTAGTCAAATTCTTCAGCAAGCACATCTCTGCCAGAGAGACCCCCTTACACTAGGGGGCCCATTAACCCTCTGGGTGCCAGGAATGGGCAGGAGGTGAGCACTGGGAGGCAGGGGAGGTCATCCTTCTTTGACCCTCCACGTGGTATTTACTCAAAGCATTTGTTGCCAGAGGCCCAGGCCCCTGGAGTATAAAGCGGAATGTCTGGTCCCCGTGCCCAGAACCGAGCAGGTGAGCAGAAGGAGCAGAAGGGTGCGGGTCGGAGTCCTAAGGGAGAGGATTGCAGGGGTTTCTGCAGAGATCTGGGGGTGGGAACTGAGAACCAAGGACATTCTCTGGGCGCCCTTGAGCACAGTTGCTTCTTGGGATGCCTCAGTCCTTCCGGCCATGACGAGGGAGGTGGGAGATAGGTGAGTGGGGAGTGGTGGCAGAGTGGCCTATGGGGTTTGGGGAGGATGGTTTGAGCTCCACACTCCGTATTACATGATTGAGCTGAAAAAGGAGCTGCTCCCCCCACATCTGAGGAAGACACCCCTTCCCTCTTTATCACTCACCTAGGTCAGTCCTCTTGATCCCCAACAGCTCTGTGCTGACATTTTTAGGGAGACCAGCAGATTCTGGGCAGGTTGGCCCGGCATCAGGCTCCCTGGGGAAAGTCCCCTGGGAGTTGTCCCTTCCTTTGCTTCTTCACACTAACCAGGAGTCCATTCACCTTCTTTCTCAGAGTCAATAATGGCAACCATGGCTGCAGTTCTGACCTGGGCGCTGGCCCTTCTCTCAGGTGGGTCTCTGACCCCAGCTTCAATGTGGAGGCGTGGGTGGAACGAGACACAGGAGCTGTCTGCTCTGGGCGGGTGGGGGAGGAGGGAAGACCACCATAGTCCCTAATCTTCATCCCTCTCCACAGTGCTTTCAACAGCCCAGGCACGGAAAGGCTTCTGGGACTACTTCAGCCAGAGCAGCAGGCACAAAGGCAGGGCGGAGCAGATCCAGCAGCAGAAGCTGGCATGGGAGCCCGCGTGAGTGGCCAGGGCAAGCGGTGTGGGCCAAGGGAGGAGACATCCAGGATATGTGGCGATGCATTGCCTCTGAGAGCTCACCTTCCATGACCCTCACTGGGATAGAGGGTCTGAAAGGCAGTGACTAGCGTGGTGGTCCTGGGTCTTCAAAACCCTCTACTCATGGCTGTCCCGGCCTTGCCCTCACTGTGGCTATTTGCTGGCCCCTTGCACACCCATGTGGGACCTGGGAAGAGTGGCGAGAACCCCAACTGCGTGAGAGCACTTTGTGAAGTCCAGTGCCTCTCTGCTTCCCTTGCACATGTGGGCTCAGATTTACAGGTGCCCTGTGCGTGGGCCCCGGCTCTGGGAACACCACCCCACATGCTTGGTTTCCCCAGAGGATGGGTGGGCAGTGTCTCTGGTGGCAAAGGAGATGATGGGGACTGGCAGTCTGATGACATGGGCGCATGTCCCCTCCCCCAGGCGCCTGAAAGACAGCCTTGAGCAAGATCTCAATATGGACAAGTTCCTGGAGAAGCTGGGCACGCTGAGTGGGGAGGAGAGGGCGCTCCCTGGGCTCCCACAGGACGAGGTGGACATGCGCCAGCAGCTGCAGGAGGAGTTGGAGGAGGTGAAGGCGCGCCTGGAGCCCTACATGGCGGAGGAGCATGAGCGCGTGGGCTGGAACCTGCAGGGTCTGCGCGAGCAGCTGCTTCCCTACACCGCAGAGCTGATGGAGCAGGTGGCCCTGGGTGTTCAGGAGCTGCAGGAGCAGTTGCGTGTGGTCGGAGAGGACACCAAAGCCCATCTGCGCGGGGGCGTGGAAGAGGCCCGGGGCCTGCTGCAGAGCCTGCAGAACCGAGTTGTGCACCACACCGGCCGCGTCAAGGCTCTCTTCCACCCCTACGCCGAGCGCCTGGTGACCGGCATCGGGCGCCACGTGCAGGAGCTGCACCGCAGCGTGGCGCCACACGCGGTAGCCAGTCCCGCGCGCCTCAGCCGCTGCGTGCAGGCACTCTCCAGCAAGCTCACGCTCAAGGCCAAGGCCCTGCACGCGCACATCCAGCAGAACCTGGACCAGCTGCGCGATGAGCTCACCGCCTTTGCCCGCGTCGGCGCGGATGCGGAGGAAGGGGCTGGTCCCGACCCCCAGGTGCTCTCTGCCGAGGTGCGCCAGCGACTCCAGGCTTTCCGCCAGGACACCTTCCAGCAGATCGCTGCTTTCACCCGCGCCATCGACCGGGAGACGCAAGAGATCCAGCAGCAGCTGGCGCCGCCTCCACCGAGCCACAGCAACTTTGCCCCCGAGTTCCTCCAAGCCAACAATGGGAAGGCCTGGAGCCAGCTGCAGGGCCGCCTGGACGACCTGTGGGAAGATATCAGTTATAACCTTCACGACCATGGTCAGGGCCATCTGAGGGAGCCCTGAGAGTTCTACTTGCAGGGCCCACTTCCCAGCTCCTTGTCTGGGGACCCCAGGACCTGAGCCTTTAGCTGGCTCAGTCCTTGACAGTGGCGTGTGGGGTGGAGACAGAGGACACGTGAGGTAACCCAAGAGGCTGTTGTCCCCAGCAAATCCAGCCTCCTGCACTCCCCCACCCAGATGCATTACACTCACCAGGCTTGCAAATCCAGCTTCCAGTGTGCGTTTAGGAACCCTCATGAGTTGCTCTGTTCTGGTGTGACTGCCGGGAGTGGGGAGGGAGAGAGGTGTCCTAGGTGCAGGTGATCTTGTGCAAGCCTGTTGCCATGTGCTGGAAATCTGTGTCACTTCATCCCAGGACTTGGCTCCGATCACCTGTGTCTACGTGGTGGCCACTGCTACAGCTGAGCCTCCGAGAAGAGTTCTTGTGTTCCTAGGGCTGACATGACAGCTTCCAGGGACAAGGGAGAAAGGAGTACATTATGATGAGGAGAGCATGTCACTCGTGTGTGTGTGCGTGCGTGTGTGTGTGTGTTTATCCCCCCTGCTCTGATGCTGGTGGGTAAAAAAAGTGGGGGTTGTGACGGGAAGGGCCAGAGCAGAATTTCCTTTCATAGCTGTACATCTAAACTGGTGATTGAATACCAAACTTTGGGGGCTTCTTAAGTCCCCTGGGAGCAAACTATTTGTCTTCATCATCTCTGCCCTTCCCACCTGACTTCTAGGGTGAAGTCTAGCCTTAAACTCAAATGAAATAGATGCTTATGATGGAAGCTTATTTGGTGTGATTCTCATTTGGACCATGGCTGAAAGCAGTGACCTCATCACTATCCCAAACCAAACCCGTCGGCTACTTTAATGCCTGGCTGCTCTTTCTCTCTCATCCACCCTCTCCCAGTCGGGAGAGCCCAGCCCTCCTTAGAAGACAGCTGTCTGTCAAGGCCTGGGTTAGACTCTCCCTCTACACCTGTGCCGTCCCCCCACCTGCTCACCACAGGGAGGTATGTAAGTGGTATAGGCCGTCACTGGAGGAGCAGTGGCCCTGGACCTGAGCCTCCTAGATAGGCTAGATGCCTATCTCCTTTGTTCCTGCTATGGCAGACACTGAATGGACTCTTTATTTTTTTTTTAAAGATTTGTTTATTTATGCACACAAAATTGGGGTACAGGTCAGAGGTTCAGGGGGGTGAGAGGATTCACCAGAGACAGAGTGGGGAGCAGAACAGGCAGATTAACTGAAATACACAGCTGAGGGGAACAGCGGGTGAAATGAGAGGTCTGCAATGCCATGCGGGTCACCTCCCTGGCTAAGGATCAATCTTGTGCTGTAGTGGCTGTGACAGCTTCATAGTGCTGTGCCCCACTGCACCACCAAGGACTCTTTTATGACTGACTCTCTTCTTGGGACTCCCAGACACTTAAAGTCCCCCCATTCCTCATATATACATTCACTTGGGCTCCAGCACTCCTCACAAATCCCAGGGAACGCTGAAACTGGGGGTGCACGGTGAGCTGGGGGAAAGAATAAAGGGTGGACACACTCCTTTCGCTTTTGAAATGGCCCATCCAGCACCCTTTCCTCAGGCTCTGCCTTGCTGGAGGCTTCCACACTTCCTTACAGCACAGACCCCACATGAATTTGGGCTGATCATGCCCCAGGCTGGACCTCTTCACCGATACCCTGGATTTAGCAATACCTGCGAGAGGTGCCCAGGGAGAGGAGGATCTGGAAAGGAAATTTTTACACAAAAGAAGTGTTTTGGTGTCCTTCCGATGCTGGGTGGGGTGAGTCAGCTGGAACAATGTGGTGGGAGTAAAAATGAGGGCTGTGTGCTTGAGGCAGGTCTTTGGGTAACCTTTTATGAGGACAGAAATAGGGAGTGAGAAGAGAAAAGGAGTGACTGAAAAACTGAGAGGGGCATATCAGAGGGGTAGCAGAATCTATCCAACAGTAGAGCCAAGCAAACCCAGGTTGCAGTGCACCTGCTACGCGGAGGGACAGGTCAAGTCCCTTGCTGCCCAGGGGCTGTCAGATGAATTTATACACCAAGTGTTAGGACCCTGAGTGATGGAGCTATTGCCCAGAGTCTGGGAGGACGTCCTGGGGGAAAGGACGCCTGGATTGAGGTGGAAGCAAAGCCCGAATCCGGTACGCTATGGAACATATTATCCGGCTTGGAATACTTGATCAGCTTCTGTTGCCCCAGGGCCCAGAGAGTGCGGCCTCTTTAAGAAAGGGCGGGCAGCAGCTGGCGGAAGTGGCGTAAGGGGTGGGGCCAGAAACGTGAGAAAGCCGGAAGTGGGGGTCCGAGCGGCGCATGGTGGCCATGTCGGCCAGCGGGGCGGTGGAGCCGGCGCCCCCGGGGGCAGCTGCTGCCGGGTCTCCTGCCCCAGCCCGGGCTCCCGCCCCGGGACACCTGTTCCGGCCCATAAACGCCGAGGACGAGGAGCAGCAGCCCACCGAGATCGAGTCGCTGTGCATGAACTGTTACCGCAATGTGAGGCGGGGACGCGGCTGCGGGCGGAGGGCGATTGAGGGTGTTGCCGGGAAGGGAGCGGGGTGGGTTTCCCGCACGGTTGGGGATCCCGAAGCGAGGCACCCTCGAGGGTCTGTTGGGCGGGGAACTGCGTTCTCAGTGACTTTCTTTCGCTGCTTTCTGCTTCCCCAGGGCATGACGCGCCTCCTACTCACTAAGATCCCATTCTTCAGAGAAATCATCGTGAGCTCCTTTTCCTGCGAGCACTGCGGCTGGAGCAACACCGAGATCCAGTCGGCAGGAAGGATCCAGGACCAGGGAGTGCGCTACACTTTAACCGTCAAGACCCAGGAGGTGAGAGAAGGCCGGAGCAGGTACCTTCGTTTCCTAGAGAAACCTTGGAAATTAGAGTCGGTCTGGTGGAGTTGGTGGGACCTGGACTACACCCCTCTCTCACCAAGCTTTAGTGTTCTCTTCTGCAATCTGATGTTGGTGTGGTCACCTGGTCATTTGAGGAAAGACTTGTGAAATTGTTTTGTAAATGTTGTCAGAGGCATCAGTGAGTTGCTGTCTTTCTATTTGGGCAGCCTGGCCCACCCTACCTGTACTGTTATTCGGGAGTGCTCTAGCTTGCATGGAGTGGGGGGAGGAAGAAACACCTGGCCTGGGTCTGATGGAGGGGAACCATCTGGTATTTCCACAGGAGAAACTGGACTGACTTTTTTTTCTACTCAGGACATGAACAGAGAAGTCGTGAAGACTGACTCTGCCACCACAAGGATTCCAGAGCTGGATTTTGAAATTCCTGCTTTCAGCCAGAAGGGAGGTAAATTTAAGATTCCAGCCTAGTTGGTCTCACCAACTTTCAGAAGCCCTGGTGCCTAGTCCAGTGGCTGTGTATGCTATGGCCATGTGTCTGTTGTGATTGCTCTTCTTTGATTGGACGTGAGTGGCAAGCATAGATGGACAGCTCAGTATGGTCTAATGATAGCCATGTGCTATCTGTCTAATGACAGACCGTGTGCTTAGGTTAGCATCACTGTTATTAGAGATGGATGTTCCTGGCTGTCTCGTTTTACAGATGAGGAAGTCAAGCCCTAGGGTCATACAGACTCTGGATAGCAGAGTCCAGGCTCATCTGTCTGCTCTTCTTGTTCACCAGCTCTGACCACCGTTGAGGGATTGATCAGCCGTGCCATCTCTGGCCTGGAGCAGGATCAGCCCACACGAAGGGTGAGTTGGGGTTTTCTGATTGCAGCAGCTTGGAATAATTGCTTTTATTTATCTGAATATGGTGTTAAGCTTCCCACATAGCTGAACTGCTTCTCACTGCCCTAAAACTTTTTGGGAAGCATATGCTGGCCAAGCTGCCAGGAAATTGCATCGATTGTCACTGTTTGTCCTTTTCTTTTCTCCTGCAACATATATTCAGGGCTCATCTCAGACAGTATAACATTACCTCTGAAGAGCCTTGCCTAATCTCCTTGGTGTATTTGTTGACCTGCGTGTATCTTATGTTTATTGCAGCAGAAATAATAAAATTGCATATTTAGCCATCTTCCTTCCTAGTTGGCTGGGGAACTTCATGAGGGGAATGTGATTTCTAGACCACCCATCTCTAACCTGGCATGAGTGCTTGGGCTAACTGAATGAATGAAAAAAATGAGGCTCCCTGGCACCACCCATGAAGTATTTGCCACATTCTGTTTTGAAGTCTGAGTCTGTCTCCACTCACACTAAAAGAGGTGATTACTTCATGATGGCAGCGATGTAGGGTGACGGAGTGGGGATGTATGCCTGTCACTGGGACCGAGGCTTTTTTTTTTTTAAAGATTTATTTATTCACATAGAACTGGGGTACAGGCCAGAGATGTGGAGGGTGAGAGGATTCACCAGGGGCAGAGCGGGGAGCAGAACAGGCAGACTGATGAAGTACACTGCTGAGGGGAGCAGCGGGCGGGGCAGGAGAGGTCTGCCGTGCCATGTGGATCTCTTCCGGGGCAGGTGGGGATCAAACTCATGCGGTAGTGGCTTAAGCTTCTTATTGCAGAGTTTTAACCCGTTGCGCCACCAGGGAGGGCCCTGGACCGAGGCTTTAATTCTCTGTTTATGGCAGGCAAAAGAAGACGTCATAGCTGAGAGGATTGATGAGTTCATTGTTAAACTGAAAGAGCTAAAGCTGGTGTCCTCCCCTTTTACTTTGGTGAGTATTGAGGGATTGAATTTAGGGGAGGGGGGACTTTGAAGACTGTCTTGGGTTTTCCACTGTGCCCGGATGGCCTGATGGTGGGTGAAGGGTCATGACTTCCCGCAGTTACTCTTTCTTCATCCATCCGTTAGATCATCGACGACCCCTCAGGGAACAGCTTTGTGGAAAACCCACATGCTCCCCGGAAAGATGAAGCCCTGGTAATCACACACTATAGCAGGACCCTACAGCAGGAGGAGATGCTGGGGCTCCAGGTGAGTGGACTAAGCCATAAGAATGTTCTGGAATGACCTTACACTCTGGATCAATTGGAGTCAGTG